TCAACTTTTAAGGTTTAACTTAAAACATTTAGATTCAGGATTTATTTTTTTAATATAATTTGAACTATATATATATATATATGAAATTGTAGGAACAGTGAGCTAAATAACAATAAAATGTTAGTGGGAAATTTTTAACACTGAAAAAGTGAGCTAAATAAGGAAAAATGTGTTGTTGACATTTTAAAACACTTCATTTTACACTTGGCTCCCTAGTCTATTCTCTGTTAAAGATGCCACTGATAATATTATAATGTTTATGCATTGTTGGATCATTGTTCTCATTGTAATTCAGTTCTTATTATTATTTTTTTTTCATTGCATCGTATTTTATCTGGTATCACCTTTTTTTCCCCCTCTTGGCATTTACAGGTTTCCATATTTTTCCCATCATTTCCATGAATCCGCGCTCTCCTCATAACATTCCTACAGTGGCTCCTCCTTCTTGCCCACCTCCACCCCCCCACACCCCACTGCTGCTCTGATCACGTGTCATGCAGTCCACCAATCAAAAAGCACTTCAGCCTGCTCAGAGTAACAGCGGCGTCCCAGGGTCCAGGCAGCCGCTGCTGAGATCCTCCTCACCGAGTCCGCTTCGCTTGGCGAGCTGGGGGTGTAGGAGTGGACTTGTGTTGATGAAACTTTACACATTTGTTTTTATACGTTTTCATAAACGCATTGACGCGTTGGATTTATTTTTCCTATCGAAGCGCTTTCTTATCAGTCAACTGTTGGCTGCTCGTCTAACCTCTAGAGGAGAAATAAACTAAAGGRATAAGCGGTCTTGGAGGAGCAGCTCTTCCCGAAGCTACTCCACTCAGCGGGCTGACCTATGCTAAGCTAACCCGCTAGCTAGAAGTCTGGAATGCTGTCGAAAGTCTGGCKTAAAGTCCACAAACGACCGGGCAGGTTTGGCGTTTCGCAATTCGGGTCCTACATGCAGTTTTCTGGCGGATTTGAAAGGGAGAGCAGCCCCACGGAGGCTCTGTGTGTTTACTCGGAGCGGGTCGGGGCAGGTGCACCTCTCGGACACCTGCGGAAACTTTCTAACTTCGCTCCTGCAGTAAAGCGCAAACTCAAACTGGCTTCCCATAGCTCTTATGCGGATGAACTCTTGTAGAATTTTGTTTTATATTATATGAAATAATTTCACTTGTTGAATGATATGTTCATATCACTGTTTATGCATCAGGTTGGTGTTTGCTAAGCCGTGTTTTGGCTAGTCTTAGCCTCGCTAGCTGCTCATTGACCCTCACTTTTACCGGAGTGGCGACGTGGACACACACTCGTAGACACTTTTGTCTCCCCCAGGACTTTGGACACGGTTCAGCTTTAGTTTCCRCAGGGAATCCCTCTCTTTTTTAGGGGATCGTGGCTGAAATGTGACAGTRGCATTATGATGAGTTTAGAAAGCTGCGTCGTTGTTTAAAGTTTTTGTTTTTTGTCCTATAAGCTCTGCACCCTATGGTGCCGCTACGGCCACCGAGAAATGGATGTCTCGCGGGCCGCTTTCCCAAACGGTGAGGGGCGGCCGGGCGGGGGAGATGCAGGTGGACCTGCCTGGACGGAGAGCCCGACGGTCCGGGGGTGCGCTCACTCGGCCCCGCTGTGCCCGACTCGCTCCCTGTGGACAGCCGCTTATGACTACGAGGCGAGCGGCGAGGACGAGCTCAGCCTCCGGCGAGGGGACGTGGTAGAGGTCCTGTCCAAGGACGCTGCCATCTCCGGGGACGAGGGGTGGTGGACGGGCAAACTCAACCACCGGGTCGGGATCTTCCCCTCTAATTATGTCACCTACCAGCCGGCTATTTACCGCCTCCCGGCCAGCAGCGGCACGGAACCGGAGCAGGTCCCCAACTCGCCCACTCAGATTCCCTTCGGTGAACTGGTTTTGGAGGAGATCATAGGCGTGGGCGGGTTTGGCAAAGTGTACCGGGGGACGTGGAAGGACCAGGAGGTCGCCGTGAAAGCGGCTCGACAGGACCCGGACGAGGACATAACGGCCACCGCGGCCGGAGTGAAGCAGGAGGCGAAGCTGTTCTCCATGCTGCAGCACCCCAACATCATCAGGCTGGAGGGGGTGTGCCTGGAGGAGCCCAACCTGTGCCTGGTCATGGAGTATGCCCGAGGCGGGACGCTCAACCGGGCCCTGACCGGGAGGCGCATCCCTCCGCACATCCTGGTCAACTGGGCCGTGCAGATCGCACGCGGGATGCACTATCTGCACGAGGAGGCCGTGGTACCCATAATCCACCGAGACCTGAAGTCCAGCAACAGTAAGCAAAGTTTGGAGTCTGTGTGTGTTGAAGTTAAATATATACAAGTTTCTCAGTGTAAGACTGGGAAAACTACTTTAAAGCAACTTTTTGCATGCTTCTCCTCACAGGTAATCTGTTAAATTKGGCAACTCCACGCTGATTATTGTTATTAAAAATAATAAAACATGATAAAAAAAAAACAGGCTTGGGAAATATTTTTAAAGGAATATCTCAATGCAGTATTAAAATAACACACCATTATTGTAGCTTTAAACAAAGTTTGCAAAAAATCCTATAATTCACATGCATTTCTCCACATTACTGTCACAGTGCTGGATTCCAGTCCTTACAGAGTGGTGGTTGGGTGRGTGTGGGGATGCCATGGAGAGGAAGAGTTTGCCCAGCTGGGTAACTTTCCCCGCACTTTAACCACCCACCCCTCAGGCTTTAAAACAACACACATTCCCAGCCCCCTCTCCACCGAAAAGCTTCAATGCTGTTCAAATAAAGTCAGTGATTTACTGAACACATAAGCAGACACGCTGTGTCCACACTCTCAGCCCATGTGCTTAAACAGACCCAGCCAATGAGTTACACAAAAGATTTATGAATGCATTGTAACGTTTAATGAAGCAAATGTTACAGAGGAAGGTATGTCTTCGTATTGATTTAGTATATGCAGGGTATTATGTTTGTGGAGTATAAACACATTTTATAGTTCTCGCATAGAGCAGCAGGCCCAGTAAGCCAGTTCTGGTAATCAACAACAGGCTGGCAAACTTTGGTTTCCCAGAACTGAATAATGAATGGAAAGGACTCAGTTAGATAAAGAGTCACATACCCACTGACACAGGCTACTCACTTCAACTCAGGTGTGTTTATGTGTGTAACATGACCCCAAACACCATTTCTCTCCTTTTGTGGTCAGAGTCTCCCATCAGCCTGGGGCCATGTGGAGAACAGCTCTGGCTCACTGATGTCTGTTTATCTCCTGCTGTAAAAGTCGGCGTGTGACTGTCAGGACGAAACGAGTGAAATGTACACATGCCAGACAATTTGACTGGAATTAGAGTGGGTCCTGTTGCGCTCACCTGGGCCCGTTTTTAAATCGTGTTGATGAAAACATCATCTAACTTACAGAAAACATTGTTTTCGTCAGATCTATTTAAAAGTACTCATTGCAAATTATAAAATCAAACAAGACAATTTTATCCTAAATACACTGCTCAAAAACAAAATAAAGGGAACACTTAAACAACGCACGCTAACTCCCGATCTTAATCAATGAAATATTCGCATTGAGTACTTTKTTCTGTACAGAGTTGAATGTGCTTCACAAAAGTTTGATTTACTTGGACTTAGCGTGCGTTGTTTAAGTGTTCCCTTTATTTTTTTGAGCAGTATCTTTCAAACTCCAGTAGCTGTAGTTGTATTTTCTAGATTTGAAATTCTGCAAGGGGCATTTGTCRATATTTAGAGCAGTGTTTGGGGGCGATGTTTTAAGTCATTCATTCGAAACTGTACTGCATGCAATTTGTTGTTTCACTGCTAGTRCAGCAGCTGCGTCTAGTTGCACTTTTTAAAAATAAAACTTACGTTGGAGTGGAAATGATGTTTTTTTTTTCTGCTCTGATCTCAGAGCAGAAAGACGTCGGCACTGCGTACTAAAGTGTGTGTTGATTTACCGCAAGTCGTATCGTCATCGCAATATTACGCTCTGTTATTGCACAACCCAGGTTTTCCTGATATCTTGCAGCCCTGTTAAATATGTACCGACACATTAAAATTGTTGGACTCCTTGATCCCAAGCTACGCTTTAATGGACATGCTGATTTTGCTTTTGAATTTTAGATTTTATGACACGTTACCCAATGATTATTAAAATTAAAAAAAATTGTGAGAATGTAGTTTTCGTTTTTAACTTTATATTTCTTGTCCTCTTTATAACATTGCCGCAAGTACCTTTTTAATTGCCTCAAGATAAATATGTATGAAATCTTATCAACAAGCTTTAAGTTCATAAAGCATTTTGAATATATTCAAAGTGGTTTTTATGCTGTGAGTTGATACAAATACATTTTAAAGTGCAGGCATAAAACTAGTTCAYGGTTTAAAACATATTCACACTAGTTTTATAGTCTTGTGGGACAATTTTGCCTTTTAATYCCTTCTGATGGAATATAATAAAGAAATGTACAGAGCCCAGTCCTAAAAGTCCTCTTATTTAAGTGGAAGGTTTTAGCGTAAGGATGGGGCAGATGGAGCAAAAGGGTTTAACTCCTGCTTAGACCGTTAAAGCTAATCGGATGTTTGGTTAACATACACTGACTGCCCTGAACAAGCAAGGCGCTGCTAACACGAGTCATTGTGTTTGTCTTGCCACCTTCCTGTGACCCAGAGAAAGTAAAGTGGGGAAATTTTAAATTAGTGGAGTTTGTTTTTTGAATTGCATGAACCTGATCTTATATAGAACAATATGACCGAATAGTGTTTTAAGATCCAGTCCAAACGCTTGGTTGTTACCAGAAACTCTCAACAATCTGAACACGTATTATATAAATTGCTATCTAAATGGGTAAAATGAAAGAAGCATGTGTTTGCTTAGAGCCAGGATGGTGAGCTCACAAAGGACACGAGTGTTTTTTACACAAACACATGAAAATGGCACCCTGTGGTGTGTTATTATCGTAGTTTAAAAAATTGAATAATGCTGCTAATTTGTTGCATCTGCTGTGGGTCTGTTTGTTTTTTGTTTTTTTGTTTGTTTTTTTAATGTGCATTGGTCTACAAAACAATATAAAATGGAGAGAATTATCTCCACAGGGGGCAAAAGGAAACATGATACACTGTAAGAAGTGGTTAATTAGCACTCTGTTGCTTTTTATATCTAGTCGTGTGGCTGCACATTGTTTTTTTTATTTGTTTATTTTTTGCATTGCAAACAAAGAGATAAACGGGTGTTTCTGTACAGATGTAGATCAGCAAAGCTGTAACGACTTCGCCCGACTACTTTCCCTGCTGTTTATCAACTGGCAGCGCACACATGCTCCACGCAGACGAGCACACGGCTATTTTGATCAATGATTAGCCTGTAAAGTAATATGTTGGAAGTCAGCAAGATTTGTCCAATCTCTTTTGTGTTTTTCAACCTAATCTGTAAAATCCCAGCCTGCAGGGAGGAATGTTGCTAATGAGGGATAAAAGCTTAACATACGTTTACACAATGGACTGGTCAAGCAGCGGTTGCTAGGCTACTGTGGCCAAAAGAATGGCTAGGACTCGGAGGGTCTCAAAGCCCCTCGTTTTGTTTTGTTCGGTTCATATTTAATCTCCCAGAGAGGAGCAGTACTCTTTTATGGTACCAGACTGAGGGGGTTTCCTTCTTACTTTTGTTGTTTTTCTCCTCTGTTTTTTATTATTTTTTTCTTCTTCTTTGTTCYATTTTCCCCCAACTTACCGATTAATATTTTGGGGCTACAATGTTTCTTTTCAAATTTTAAAGAGATCATATTGTTTGGCTTCGTGTAGCCTGATGTCTAACATAAACCTTGGGCTCCATCGTCATAAGAAACTGTTACCATTGTCCTTCATAAGCTACGTTGCGATTGTTTTTGCAGAATAGCACTGACTTGGACGGTGATCTGAGCTGAGTTTGTAAATCTGACTTTTCTGCTACGTCATGCCTTCTAAGGAGTGGGTTAAGCCGTCTTTCTTTCAATTTGCTTTATTTGTTGCATCATTTTTTTCTCACTCCACGCTGTTGGTGCCAATACATTTCTGTAAGTTAGATGCAAACTAGCATATAAGGCAAAACAAACAGTGAAACCTGGCCCTGAGCCAGCAAAAAAAAAAAAGAAAAAATGCCTACTTTAACTTTTCATCATGCTTGAATCGTTAGTATGCAAGGAATGTTCTTGAATGCCACCGAAACTGATGGAGTTCCGTTTGGAGCGTGTGCAACTGCATTCTGCCATCAATCTGAAGCTATTATTAGACTCCATCACACTGTCCTCGTGCTCTTTTTTTCCCCTGTCTGAACACACCCACCCTTCTCTAGAACTGTGAAGATGTTTTAAGCTTTGAAGCACAGAAACCAATTCTTTTTTTTGGTCACATCTAGTATTGCAAAGACATGAATGGAATGAACTTTTTGGATTCAAGCTTTAGAGTTTACAGTACAAATTATTGCACCACTGGCCTGTTGGTTAAAGCAACACATTTTGTACCATATCGGACTCAAAGCTTTCAGAAATCAAGAGATGGACTTTTTGATATCAACCAACTGACAAAAAGTGGCTCATTGACTTATTAGTAGAAAACAATATGAAACAAAACTAAAATAAACTGCGCTGAGCTTCAACTTATTAGTACATAAGTGGATCAAACATATCTTTTTACAAAATGAAAGCTACATATGAATTTTCCTGCACATGCAAAAATATAAAAAAAAATTAGAGGAACTATTTTGTTTTGTTGTGCAAATTACCTTCTTGTAAACTTTGCATTTATTTCTTTCTGTCATAGTAAACTTTGCATCGGGTGAGAGTCTAAAAATCCCCTCTATACAGACAGCTTTGCTTATCATATCATTTTTAGTTGCTTGTTTTTTTATCTGGAATAAATAGGGGGAAAGACAATGTTAGCATAGTTGTTTCAAGGCAAATTTCTCTGGTTTTCCACAATTACCCTCAGTGACACACAGACAGTTACTGCCTGTCTTTTCTCTGACAAGAGAAAGGGCAGAGGGGAGAGAGGAGGAGTTGAGATGCTTTCACTGTGTTTTTTATGACCTCTCCCTGACTGCACCTATTGTTGCTGGCCTGGGTGAAAAAGGAAAAAGGCCCACAGCTGAGAAAAGCAACCTATCCTCTGCATTCCTGTCTGTGGCTTTCTACTACAAAGATGGATGCTTAAATAGCAAAAGGCGTTTGGTGCTCACCTTAAACATTTTGTATGTGTTGGTTCGCCAGGCTGTGTTGATACAAGCTTTTATAGACTTGAACCTGGAGAGGAAGAGG